GCATTTCATATGTGGAATTTACTGAGTAAACTTTGGAGTGTTTTCAATAATAATATTCATTGGGTCTTAGGCGATGGATTCTCAGCTCATTTTTAGAATGAAATTTGGTCAAAGGATACCCCTTTTATAGAACAGGGTCTTCTTTTTAATGCTATTTTAAATGAGAATTGCTGCATGTAGGAGTTTATAGTAGATACGGGAGAGCTGGATTGAGAGAAGCTAGCTGCTATATGCCTATTGAATTAGTGAACAAGATTCTGATGGTTCTTCCTCCATCGTTTTCTCTCAAGTCGGATGTACCATACTAGGTTCCATCAGCCTCAGGGCTCTTTATTGTAGCATCAATATATGAGTTGTTGCGAAAGGTTTCTCCAAACAATCAAGGACAACCGAGTATAAAATGGGCTATTATGTGGAAGTGGGATGGTCCTCAACGAATACACACATTTTTAGTGCAATGTCTTCATGGCAAATTGTTGACAAGGTTAGAACGTAGGAGAAGAAACTTGTTGTCTTCATCTATTTGTGTCTTATGCTCATTGACTGAAGAATCAGTCCTACACATTCTAAGAGATTGCCCACATTCAAAAGAAGTCTGGTTGAATTTGGGAGCACGAATGGATCATGGGAACTTTTTTGAATTATCATTAACAAATTGGTTGATATCTAATATAAAAAATTATAATGCTCATATTGATAGTGTTCTCTAGGCTATTCTATTTGGATTCACATGCTGGCATAATTGAAAGTGGAGAAATGAAAAGATTTTTGAAGGCAAATTGGTCCCTATGATTAGTAAGTTATTGACGCTAAAAGGTTTAGTTGTAGTGTCACAAAATGCTATCACAATTCCTTGTACACATAGCAGCTCTGTGGCTATAAAAAAGAAGTGCTAATAGGATGGCAGAGTCCACTGCAAGGGTGGGTAGTAGTAAACTCTGATGGCGCATTACATCTTTGTACTAATTTGGCTACGGTAAATGGTGCTTTATGTGACTATAAAGGATATTGGTTAGGTGGCTTTACTGCAAAGTTGGGGAGGTGCTCATTTTAGAGGGCCAAATTATGAAGAGTCTTGCATAGTCTTTATATGGCAAGGGATAAAGGAATTCATGGGATATGGCTACAGGTGGACAATAAAATTGTGGTTCAGACAATTACCGCTAATACATCGCATCCATGTGCAAATTTTGATTTACTGGATACTATTTGCAGCTTGCTGCAACTCGATTTGAAGGTAAAGATTTCTCATATTCATTGAGAATGGAATATGTCAACGGATGGCATGGCCAACATAGGCTTTAATCTAGATAATAGCTTTCATTTTTATGATGTACCAATTTCGAAAATCAGTTCTATCTTGTTCAATGACTTGTTAGGAGTATATTTTCTAAGAATGATTAGAAATTAATAAAATTTCCTTTTCAGAAAAAAAATTTACTCATGACAAAAGAGAAACTTCGTTGAGAAGGAGAAGGGATGATTGGTTACTATCCATTAAAAACTTTAGAAAAGTCGAGTTTAATACGGTTTCATCTAAATGAAGGTAATATCATATTTACTTATATCATGATGTTTGGTGTTTTATTGAGAATAGAATTGCTAGATATGTGATTGTTAGGAAGATAACATTAAAGTGTTTGGTATGCATAAAAATGTGATAATTGTAGGGAATGTGATCACTGAGAAAATTATATTACCGTATTTAATTTGAAAGCACTTGAAATGTAATATTAATTTACAAAATCACCGTTAAATATGAAAATAGAAAGTTGAATAAACTTACATTTTTAACATAATTTTTTAATTTTTCAAACTTTATCTTTTAGAATAATAAAAAAATAACATAATATTTAAATACTAATTATTTAAATATTAAAATATACAAAATTACTAAATATTTATTTTTATAATAATGTCTATAAATATTAAAAAATGATAAATTTTTATAATAATGTTTAGAATCATCACACTAATAACAAAAAGCATTATAAAAAAAAGAATTTTTTTTCTTTTTGAATCTTTGCAAGTAATGCTAATTGCAATCTTAGTTGGGAGTTATGCCATCAAGGTATAAATGATATGCTACTAAGGACAATGGACCCTTATTGGAGTGGGGGAGGATGCATTGTCTTAACAAGGAGCCATTAATTTCACGTTGAGGAAGATGTCATGGTCCTAGTGGAGAGAAGAATCTCACATTAAGCAAAGATGTTTTGATTTAATAAGAGAGTCATGAATCTCATATTTACTATGTATTAGAGTGAGATTGAGCATTAAGGGTTCACAACATTTTTAATTTATGAAGTTATAAAACTATCAAGGTAGCGGGTTAAAGTAAATAATCCCTTGCAGGTTGGTATGAATCATGATAATTAGTATCAGAATGGGCTATAAAACTATTAGATTAATAAGCTCAATATGAATAAATCCAAGAGGGGGTGAATTGGATTGGTTTGAAATTTTGAAGAATCTGTATTAACTTTTGATAAAGTAAAATCCCCTCTTTAAGTCAAATGCTTAATTTGAAGATCACTAAAATAGCTGACCTCTTAACCAATGAGAGAAATTTAAATTTCAATTAAAAGTAAGACTTGAAAAATCGACAAAAATATTTTATAGAGGGTTGGCCTCCTTACTTATGTCTTCTCCCTTAAAATCACTAAGTAGTTTAAAATTCTCTATTTGATCAAAGTTTAATACGATGCCTTTTTATGGTTAAAGCACAACCGGTCTATCTTTTCTATTGATTAAGGTATAGCCCCTTAAGCAAGTACAATGAGAGGAATATAAGTGCGGCTAATATGCCTCTTAAAGGTTGAATAGTGAATTTGTACAATGTTTAATAAAGATGCATGAGCTCAACAAATGTTAAACTAGAAGACTTTAAGGATTCAAGAAAAGTACAATGAGTTTTAAATAAGTTTTGGTTGATTCTTCTATTTTGAGCTGTGTTTTGAAATTTTCCAACATTCATAAATATTGAAGAACCTGGTATTTATAGCTGTTAAAACTTCAAGGGTAGTTAGGAGTGCATTTAATGAGAAAATAATTGTTCTTCTCTTCATTCAAGGTTCGAATAGTCATATTATGTTGATACATATGTGAATATATCAATACATTCCTTTTTGTTTTAGAATTCTAGCTAAGATGTATAGATACATTTATGTATGTATAGATACATTTGAACTTGCCTGCAAAGGTTTTGACATTTTTCTTAAAATGTATTGATAAATTTGTTCATGTATCGATTCTTTTGAGGTAGTGGACATTCTATTGCATTTCTATCAATATATTTGTTAATTCGTCGATAGATTGAGTTTGACTTTTAAATTTTTGACTTTTTTCAAGAACATGTAACTATAGATTTTGAAATTTATTGATACATGTCCAAATGTGTCGATACATGAAGAACATGTATCGATAGATTTGGACCAAATTGCATTTTCCAAGGCCTTTTCTATTTTTTTTTCAAACACATTTGATATCGTTTAGTGATCTGAAAACTTGATATTCCAAAACTTGGGTGAATTTTGGTCATTTCTTTTGTCATTTCAAAACATGAAATTGATTTGAATACTATTAAGCAAACAGTAGCAACATGTCATTAAGGGTAATGAGCCCTTTAAGGGTACTAGTAATGTGCCATTAAGGAAAATGGGCCTTTATTGGAATAGAAGAAGATATCACTAGGACCCCATTATGGTAGCGAGGTTAAAGCAGACAATACCCTGTTGGTTGGTGTGAATCGTGATAGTTTGTATCTAAAAAGGCTCTAGGGTATTAACAATGTGCCATTGAGGATAATAGACCCTTTAAGGGTATTAGAAATATGCCATTGAGAATAATGAGCCCTTATTGGAGTATGGGAGAATATCAGTCTCAAAGAAGAACCATGAATCCTACATCAACTGTGTACTGGAATGAGACTGGGTTTTTAAGGGTTTACATCATCTTAAACTTATGAGGTGCCTCTTGTGGAACAAAATCGTGAAGCTAGCATGCCAAAGTGAACAATACCTTGTAAGTTAGTATAAATCATGATAATTGGTTTCAGAGCAGGTTTGAGGGTACTAATGATGTGCCATTAAGACAATGTGCTTTTAATGGAGTAGAGGAGGATGTCATAATCCTAGCAAAGAGCCATTAACCCCACATTAGGGAGGATACCATGGTCCTAACAACAAAGTGAGATTGGATATTTAAGAGTTCATACCATCTTTAATTTGTGAGGTAAAATCATGAGACCCAATAAGTCGAAGCGAATAATTCTTTATAAGTTAGTGTGGTTTGTGATGGAGTGAGAATAGTTGTGTTTTGAGTAATGATTTTTGATAAATGATGCCTTTTTTATAATTGGATGTAAGGGCGGATGAAAGGTGGTAGCAAAAGACCCCTTAATTTTTAATTTTTTTATTATTATATTATGAAATTTAAGATATATAATTTTACCATTTGTAATAAGATCAAATAACTTGTTTTACTTTTCATAGAAATGTCCTTTCCATGACCAATGGGTATGCAATTATCATTGATCACGGAGGAAATGTGACTTTCCCATTTGCTTCATATTATATACTCTGTGTCACAAAGCCAAAGGGTAAAGAGGTTGAGAACACTTAAATTTCAGTTTCAATAAAATATACAAATATATAAATGAATATGATAGTTTATATTAGTAGTATTAACATCACTGAATCTAGTAGCTCATAGTAACAACGAAGAAGCTTATTTAAGCCATAAATTTGGGATTGGCTAAGGCGAAAGAAAATCTTCCTCGAAAGAAACAAATCGACAATAAAAAGAAAAGAAAAGAAAAGAAAAGAAAAGAAAAGAAGGGCCTTGGAACTGGAGAAATCTGTCCGGCTCTTGAGTCGTGTCCCAAACAGTTGGGGCCCCAACTTAAAACAAGGCAACAACGGATTTAGACTTTGCTAGCTTCACAGCCACTCCTCTCTCACACAAGTCTCTCATCAAAAAACTCCAATCAACCAGAAGCCATGGTGGGAGTCCTTAACATCCCCAAACTCCCGCTTTTCTCTCCACTTTCCCTGCGCAAACGATCAAGACCCTTCATTTCCATTAAAGCCTCTTCGGAATCTGAATCTTCAGATTCCGAAGCCGGTCCTGCTTCTACAAGCACCAAGGAAGAGCAAAAACCAAGCTTTGCTTTTTCTTCAACAGCAACAACATTTGCTCCTCCTCCAAACTTCAAGCCACCAGAGCCGAAGCGGTTTACAGTTAGACCAGATAAGACTTGGGATATCCTTGGGGCATCTCTTGCCTTGTTCTTCCGGTTGGGAACTGGTGTTTTTGTTTCTGGGTATGGAGACTTCCTTTCTTTTCTTCTTTCGTTTGTTTATTTTCTTTTGTTGGAATTCTTTTGACTTACTTGTTCGTTATGAGAAAATCGAAGGGTTCATATAAAATGGAATCAAATTTTAGTTATGTGGAAAGTGGGATGAATTTGAATTACTTCATAATTTTTTGGTACTGGAGCTCTGGTGGCATTGGACTTGTAAATGGCAGCACATAGATTGAGCATGCTTGACAAACTAAAGTATGAACACAATGAAATTGAGGTCTATAAAGTGTAAAAATCAAGTTGAATTTTTTATCTGGATATATGGTGTTTTACATCCCTGGAAAAATTGTTAATGATAATTAATGTTTACGAGCAAAATGTAGAAAGTCCTACACTCCATTCCTAATTAGAAGAAGAGGCTGTATTTGTGGCACTTCACTTGATTCTTGGTAATGACATTGAACTTGTAGGTTTCTTCTAATAATCTTGTATGTTATTGTACTGTGGCAGCTATTCCGCATCGTTTGTTTCTGAGAATGAAATTCCACCTGGCCAATATTGTTTAGAAGTAGGAGGTATGGGGTTACTTTTTGTTTCATTTCCTTATTTCTCTGCATCATTTTGTCAAATGTCTGATGCAAGTCCAGATTCCAGTGAAAAAAGGGTAGCTAAGCATTTATTTTGTAGTTGAGTCTATTTGTCTAAATAGTATTCAGATTTCAAATTCTGGAAAATTTCATAGTTAAATTTTGATGGGATAGCTGTATTGAACAGGCTCTAAGGTGAAGGAGACCTCAAAGATAGGCCCTCGTCCAGAGAAGCCTATTGAGATATATGAGTTTGAAGGGTACTCAAATTTCCATTTCTTTTTCTTTTTCCCCTGTTGAATGCTTGTATTAATTGCTGACTTTCATTATCCTTTTTCCCCTTTATCCTGTCCTGTGGCATTTCATGTTTCATTTCTGATGAAGAAAAGATTGACTTTGTGTGTTTTTTTGTTTTTGCCCCTTGAAATTATGGATAATGGTGGACTGCATACAACTCCAGTTGTCCATTTTGTCGAAAGGTAGTAAATACTCCGCATTTATAACACTTTTTTGCTTCTATTGCATTCAATAGTTGGGTTTTCTTGCTATCATTATGGAGATAAATGTAATGGAGCAAATGTCTTATTAGATACTATCTTATGCAACCTAGACATGGCCATGTTGCCTTGCTTGTCGAAAATACCAACTTCAATATAACACCTGGATAAGGTGTTACTCTGAAATTTTCATTGAATGGTTCCATTTAACATGGCAGGAGTCACAGACATCAGCATTTAGCTCTTGATGCACAGCATTTGTGGTTCTAGCTGGTGATAGCAATACTTCCCCAAATTGCCCCAAAGAGGACCTGTATTGAGTTTTGCTGCTCATATTTCCCTAATAAACCTTTAGTTGAAACTAGAGTCACTAAGCATGATGTATTAGGGCCATGAACTTCAATGTTTTTCACTGACATATGACTAAAATCATATTCCATGAACTTCCTCATGTTTTAGACTGACATTTTATTTGTATGCAGGTTAGGGAAATTGTTTCAGTTTTGGATCTTGATGTTCTGTTTTATCCTTGCCCCAAAAATGGTCCAAATTTTCGTCCCAAGGTCGCTAAGATGGGTGGAAAGCAGCAGTTCCCCTACATGGTTAGATATGGTTTCTGTCCTTCGGTCCTCAGCATCTTACTGAGTTTATTCTTATCCCTCATCTTTTTCCCCTGGTTTGATTCTTGAGTTTTGTACTTTTGTTTGTATTAAAGCCTTTGAATTGATATTAAAAAGAGTGATGTCAAGTTGGAGTTCAACTTAAATGTTGTTTTTCATTTTAGGTGGATCCAAATACAGGAGTTGCTATGTATGAATCAGATGAAATAATGAAGTATCTGGTTGGAAAATATGGTACATGTAGCCACAACCACATAACATTGCTATGATTTTTCATTTTTCCTGTTAGTTTTCTATAATCACGTACTCATCTACCCTGTTCTTTCTGGTTTTAGGTGATGGAAGGGTTCCATTCATGCTATCACTTGGTCTACTGACGGTTGGCATTTGTTTTTACAATAATTGTTCTTTTCTGCTATGAGATAGTAAATTTGGTCACTCTTTATAGAACAGTCCTAAAATTTTCTTGTACTGCAGACACTGGCTGCAGGATTTGCCATGATTGGTCGCATGGGAAAGGTAAGATGGATATGAGAATCTTATTTTATTTAATTCTGAAGATATCTGGGAAGAAGCTCTCTCTCTCTCATATTTCCTCTTTTAATGCGTTATGTGCATGTTAATTTGTCAAAGAAATTATGATAAATTGTAGATAAATATGCTGCTTTCTGAAAAATGTTATAAAAGACACCCTAAATCTTATCATGTTTTATGCAGGGATCTTCCTACAATCCATCAAAATTGCCTCCCAAGCCACTTGAGATATGGTCATATGAGGTTAGTAGAGTATTAAAAAAATTTTGATGTTTGAATATATTTATGTTCAACAGTTTAGATTCCTTCTCCAAAATGTGAGACAACTATGATTTCCCAATAATACATGTTAAAAATTGCTACAGCTGCCTTTCAACAAAAAAAAAAAAGCCACAGTATATATATATATATATATTATAGTTTTGACTTTAAAGTGTTTTTACCTCCCTTTTAGGGTTCTCCATTCTGTAAGATTGTGCGAGAAGTGCTTGTGGAATTAGAGTTACCACACTTTCAACGCAGGTGAAGTATAAATTATCAATCTGCTGGATTAGGTCAATTTTATTAAAGCATCCTGTTTCCTTGTATGTTAATGGTAGATGAATATTCAACTATATTTGTTTACATACACTCTCTAATTTTAATAACGTCAGGGTTTTAGGTGTTTGAGACATTTGTTCAATTAATGCTTTGGTTAAAAAAAGGTTCATGCAAATGCCATATATTCAGCTTCAGATTCATGCTTGTGGTTTCACACACGTCTCTGTAAAGATTGAGAAACCTCTTTATACTTGCATATGAACCAAAAAGTTGTGAATAAGGTAAGATATATCAAGGCATGTACTTTCTACTAAATTTCCTTACGTCAAAACTGTTCACAGTATGAATCATCATCGACTCATCCTCATGTTATCATTTTCAACGGTGGAAAATATTTCCATATGTCTTGTGAGGATCTGATTGATTGGTGTGCTTTGATATGTCTTCATTTATACGTTTAAGGGGTGCACCAAGACATGCTATTAAGACAATCTTTACTAATTCTTCTTCTGACTTCCATCAGTTGTGCTCGCGGCAGCCCAAAAAGACAGATCCTCTATGAGAAAGCTGGACATTTTCAGGTATATTACTACTTCCCTTAACAAGTTTCCACATCTAGAAAGTTATGATTTGGCCACTAGTGGTGAGAGGTTGGTATTTTCTTCAAAAATGGTTGGCAGGCGCCATACTTAGAAGATCCAAATACAGGAGTGCAAATGTTTGAAAGTGCAGAAATAGCGGAGTACTTGAGAGCTACTTATGCTCAATAATTAATCAAAGCTTTCTTAGGGAGATTCTTCTTCTCATCTTGTGTTATGCATATTCCCAACTTTTTTTCACTTTAATATTCCACCACTTTGTATATTGAATCACTCCAGCAGAGCTAGCTCAAGTGGTAAGGGTGGGTGGAATTTGGCTAGGGTTCTTAGGTTCAAGCTGTGTTACTCCCTCTTATATTTGACAAAAGAAAAAGAGTTAGCTAGGTTCCTATATTTTTTATTTGTGTTCTTTGTAATGAAAAACAGCTTCAATATGGCACTGACTATGCTGACATATGAGCTGCACAACATGATGCAGTGGCCATGTGTTTGTGTGCAGGGCATGGAGCCAGAAAAAATGTGCACCGGGGGGTGGGGAATTTAACTTACATAGACCAAAACAAAAGCAACAATATGGTAATATATTTTTTAGTAGCTCTAATATTATATCATTCTAATAAAAATGTGAATGTTCATAACAAGAAAAGATATCTCCACAGAATGTGCTAACAGTAATTTTTATATATGTACAACATATGTGTTAGTAGTATATTCTTTTTCATAAATATATTTAAATTTTAATTTAACAAAAGTTTATTGATAATCGTTAAAGTATGTTATGCAATAGCAAAAAAAATTGTACGTCCACTATTTGAATCATACAAAATAAACTAATACATAAACATAAACTCACAAAAAGAATTAAAAAAAAGGAGATAATATTTATTAAATAACAGATATGGTTTTTTCATGCTTTTAATTGCAATTGCATAACAAAATATTAACTTGAAAGGATGCAATATTTAATTACAGAAAACTTAGGCGCTTGAGAATGGTAGATGGAGGGTTCGTTTTCTCTTCTTTTTCCTTCTTTTCCCAATCAGTAATTGCAACTATAAAATTTCAACAGAACTTACGATGCTATCTATAGAAAGAGAAAACTTATTATCCAATCACGTGCCATCACATGGACTAGATGACATCATTAAAGATTATCATATAATTAATTATAAAAATAATTAATTTATTGATTGGATTATCTTACAAACATATAGTTGGATTAATTAAAATTCATCTTTGTGTTGTACACATTTATCTCTTGAAATCATTTAAAGATAATATTTAAATTAGACCAATTAAAATTTAATTATTTCTCATTTAATTTATCTCTAAATAAATCAAGATAATTTAAAGATAATATTGAGATTTTTGACCAATTAAAATTTACCAATTGATCATCTAATTTATCTATAAAAACTTATGATAACTTGGAGATAAAATCAAGTTTGATCATTTAATTTATCTCTAAATAAATTAATATAATTGGCCAATCAAAATTCAAAAAATCAAAGTTCGGTCAATCCAAAGACTATCTATGAGTCATAATGATTTTTCATTAATTAAATTAATATAATTTAGAGACAATTCAAAGACACTAAACCCTCATGAATGTCTTTTATCTAGCACTATAAATATAATGCTCCTCCAAGCCATCTAGGGACCATTTAGAGATTGAGAAGAAGATTTTTGAAGATGAAGCTTTCAAGATCAGATCGTGTTCAAGATTAAGTTTCCAAGACGCTTGAGAAGATGAAGTTTTCAAGATCAAGTTGCCACGACACTTGATGACGAAGTTTTCAAGATCAGATCGTGTTCAAGATCAAGTCTCCGAGACCCTTGAAGATGATGTTCTCAAGTCTAGACCATATCCAAGATCAAGTTCGAGTTTGGACTCTTGAAGACTGAGCGAAAAAATTAATTAGAGGAATTCCAAGGATTGTAGACTCGCATAAAACCTTTGTAATTTGTCTCATAATTTTCAAGTCTAAATTCCTACACGAAATTTGTATGAACAAATTTCTGGTAACAATCTCTACCTCTCATCTTTTTTCGTTAAACAAATCTTCAAAGTCCAAATGGTTCCTAAGAAGAACTTCGTTAACAAACTCACTGTCATGCCTGCTCAAGCAAATCTTGCAGTCTTTCCAACTTTATCATCAAGCACAGATGTCCCAACACATCCATACGACACTCGACGAAGGACAAAGCGCTCTTATTAAATTGTATAAGTAGACTTTCCTAGCCCTCAACAAAAATCCTTTATATGATACTCCTTTCCAAAGTTTTGAAGAAATCTCTACCATATAACTTGCTTCCCCAAAAGTATCAAGTACAAATCAACTCCCATTCAAGGAACATGATGGCTATTCAAGTGGTAACTTTGTTTCATCATCCTTTCGCCAAAGTTTCTCGTCAAAAGTGAATTATAGAGTGATGGCTGTCATGACAACTAGAATGACAATTTTAAAAAAACAAGTTTTAAGAAAATGAACGAGAATTCCACTACAAAAGTGGAAAACAATCTCTTAAAAAAAAAATTCAATGAAGTGGTCACCACTAGACTTGGTAATTTTGGACATGACACATTAACAAGATAAGGGAAGACACGAGGTTAAACAAGTTTGGGTTTAACCTTAATGTGTTTCATGTCTAATCGTGTTTAACACATTTAAAATATGAAAATTTTCGTGTCTTAATGTGTCAGACACGAATAACACATTTAAACACATTTAATTAATTGCGTTAATCATGTTATCATGTTTAAATGTGTATATGTGACACGTTTATTATTTAATTGTGTTATTCATGTTATCATGTTTAAATGTGTATATGTGACACGTTTATTAACCTGTTAAAAATTAATAGTCAAAGATTATTTCAGCCTTACTAAAATAAATTTAAACAATTATTTTAATAAATTCGTTAAATTTTATAAAGATAATAATTTAATTATACCATGTCCAAACCCTAATTTTGAACTTTTTCTTTGTGATCATTTGGATCATTTTAGATATTATTAGTATTTTAACGTTAGATGTTAATGATGGATTTTATCATATTATATGATGATGGATTTTATCATATTATATGATAATGAATTTTATGTATGTTATTTTTGTTCAATTTTATTATATTTGATGTTGTTATTATTTTATTTTATTATAATTGTTTTTATAATTATTGATTTTAAATTAAATAATAAAATTATATTTAATTATAAATATTTTTATTTAATCTTGTTAAATGTGTTATTAATCGTGATGTGTCCTATATTGACACGTTTAATAAATATGTTAATCGTGTCCTGTCATGTCATATGATTATTAAAGGTATATGTATACATGTTTCAGATTTAATATATGAATATTATTCATATGGTGTTTGTATTTAACCTTAATGTGTTTTGTGTCTAATCGTGTCTAATACGTTTCAAACATGAAAACACAAATTACCAAGTCTAGTCACCACCAACCAATTGAAGGAATTCATCAAGGAATAGGTGGAAAGTGTCACCCAACCTTCCTACACTTATGCCAAGCCATACTCTTAAAGGATTGATTGCATGAGCATGCCACATGACTATCAACCTCCAAAGTTCTAACAATTTGATGGTAAAAGAAATCCTCATCAACATACTACACATTTCAAATTGCAACAACGTTGGAACCTATGATAATCTTATAGTGAAGTAGTTCGTTCACTCTCTAAAAGACAACGTCTTTAATTTGCACACATACTTGGAGCCTGGGACGATTGACAATTGGGAGCAATTAGAACATGAGTTTCTTAATTGCTTTTGTAGCACTCGACGTTTGGTGAGCATGATTGAACTCACAACTTCGTGCTAATGGAAAGATTAACTTGTGATGGAATTGGATCTCTATGTCTAGATGTAGATATTGTAGATCATGGATTTCAAAATTTTTTTTTATATTAGTGTTATGAACAATTTATAATTAAACCATGTGCATAACAAATAAAACATATCTAGCATGCAAACATATTGTAAATCAATCAATCACATAAAAAGTCAACACTAAAGAATTAGTGTTTTTACCTTCTCTTTGTAATGTAATCAAATTTTGATTCCAGCGAATTGTGGCAAAATCACTCTCCACACCAAAAGCCTGATTTTTCCACCAAATCAACTTGTCACTAATTCTCCAAGAATACCTTAAACAAGAACCTGCAGTGGACAAGGTGTAGAATGTATGCATGCAAAGCACAAGATGGTAGCATGACGTGTTCTGTCTTTTTTTTTTCTATGAAATTTTTGCCAATCTTTAGAGAGAGAGCCATCAAATTTCGTCAAAGGCTTCTTTTTAAGAGAGAAACACTTGTTGTAGCACCAAGACTCTTTAATGACCAAGCTTAAGTAATACTACATGAATTAAGATGCCATTATCGAAGTTTTGACTTCTTCGGAATCTTTACGTAATTTTTTTTAACGTGGCAGGAGGGTGACATGAACTAAGATGCCATTAGCCAATTCGTGGATTCTTTGGAATCTTTTGTAATGTGGCATGTAACTCTTGAATGTGGCAAGAATTGGATAAACAAAGTGACAAGATAGCAAACCATCAAATAAGGATAAAAATAAAAAGAGTTGTGGAATTACCTTGAGGCAGAAAAAAAAAAAAAGAAATGTAAAAGAAAGGGCAGCATACCTTTTAATCTCAAGAAGATGAATTTTCTACTAGCTTGAAGTCCGTTTGGT